CTGCCCCAATTTCTTAAAATAAAGGACATTCGCGCAAACGAAATTCCAAAGCAAAATCCCTTAGCGATAAGGCCATTTACTGCAATGTAAATTGAAAATCAACAGAAAAGAAATTGAAAATTAAAATTCCGCAAAGTAATTAATTTGGTGCTGCGGTCAGTTGGCCAAAAGCGCATGAATTTTACATTAACTAAATTGTATGAATATTTGAAAATATTATGGAGTTAAAACTGCCATTAAAAGTACATAGTGAACAATTTCTTCTGATTAACACGTTTGAATAGTAACGATAAATGAGCAAAGACGAAATATACCATTCCCAAATACATATTATTTATAATAAAAACTCTACCAGCTATTAGCAGTAAAAATGCGAGGCAGCAGTATTAGCAGTAAAAAATCTCAAACATTTTCAATCGAGCAATTGAAGTCATTTCAGGTTAGAATTTGCGAAGCGACTTTATAATTGTGCAAAATTTCCAAGGATTATTTGAAAGGTTCCAGTAAAAAGTGTTTGATCATTGCCTTTGCCCCCTTTCAAGTATGGTGTATGTGAACTGTACGATATCTACGACAAGCAGAATGCCTCGTTAGAGTAGGAATTTTACAGACTAATCTCAAAAAAATATCGTTCGCTTAACGACTCCGAAGGGATTTTGTCAGTTTTTATTACTTTAAACTTTGCGAAAATAGGATGAATCGGGAAAAATCTGCGTGGTACATTTTACTTGAGTTATGTGCTTTAATCCCGCCAGAATAGAATTTATAATAAACTGGTGTGTCATACCTTGGCAAGTTATGAATTCAATGTTTGTTTAAATAAAAAATACTTAGACATATTCAGTTGGCTAACTCATTGTAAACAGTTAAATCCTGATGGAAGCAAACAGACGGTAATTGAATTTCAAGATTCATTATCTAGAGTAATGCTCTCGTTGGTGGCATTGGCACTTCTCCAACTAGATCCAACTGTCCGTTGAGATGATTTATAGCTTATGTCAATGGGGAATTAAAACAGACAAACAGAGGATTTTGGTATGTCCATAAATTAGCCAGTAATTAATAATGGTAATTTTTGGTGACATTTTTACTTCCACTTAAAAATATTGTTTTAGGGGAGGATAAAAAGAAGCTTCAATTTTGGCTTTGATATTCAAGTGACTTCTTTTTAATGTTTAAGGCAATAGCTCTTACAATATTCTGGTTGAGTTAATACCAGACTTGAAAATTAAGAACTTTGCGCGTAGTTGGGATTTGAACACTTGGCGATAAAACTGATAGCAAGTTCCAAATAAGTTAACGTCTGCTTAATTTCTGCGGTTTTAAGCTAATTGCAGCGTTTACACCGCTAAGAAGACACTCTAAATCAAATATATCTACAATACCGGAAAATATAACTACCTGATAAATACAAGATATTCGGATGTCGGTAAAAGTTTAGATGTTTAAAAAAAATATATGCATATCTTTTGGGGGTGTAATGCTGTTTCCTAAATATAACTTACATGTTTTGTAAATATTTTGTACCTTTTGTAAAAGAGTTAATTGGCGCCTGGGATTTCTGATGAATTTGTCGTATAGTGGATTAGTATAGTAAGTCATATTTCAAGTTTAATTTATTTCTTCTATTTGATGAAAGTACAGGCGAAAAAAAATCAATTACAAACAACTACCACAATGGAAGAAAGCCAATCGATTTTCAAAACCATTGCCACCAAATACCAAATTAAAAGATAAACTTGACAAACACTTTTTGGACATTGTACTTTGTGGCATATTTTCTGAACAAGGATGGCGAATTTATTTAACAACCATTATTTTTTCATTTTTGCCTCAATATATCGGGTCTTTGGAAAGACCGAATGTTCTTATATTCTGTATTGCAAATTGATAACTAGAGCTTTGTTCATGCAAAAAGCGACTTCCTCGTCAAAATGTAATGGAGAATCTATCATTTAGTGCGAAGCATTTAGGGCCAAGCAGTAAGAGAAATTTACAATTAGAAAATGAAATGTATTTAAAAATGTGACTTTAATTAGTAAGAGTAATGTAAGTATTGTATAAATAATGAAAGTGTGTAGTAGGATTAGATAATGGACCACATATTAAGTCTTTATATGAATTTTGTACTTTATATAAAAAGACACAAGTTATTAATTTATTAACCCTAAATTTTAAGACAAAATACAAATTTCTAAAATATGTTTGCCGCTCTGTATATAAAACCACATTGATTGTGTCCCAAGTTTTAGTATTTCCATAGTTCAGTGGAAAAAGTGTTGATTGTCTACCTAGAAATTTATGACATTATTCTTATAAAATAAAGTTTTTTTGTATAAAAAAATTATTTGTATTGTTCCAGCTATTCGTAAATTCCCTTTACTCACTTACACCGAAATATGACAATACTTCTTCGGCCCTTTTCAGTTATTATGTCTGCACAAATAGATTAAAACGAATAGGTCGGCAACGGCAAACTTTTGCTCCGAAAGTCCTGCTATTTAATAGGCACCACAGCTTAGTCTACCTGTTTCTGGTAATTTCCCAGTTGAAAAGTTTGCAGATCTGTTTACCTCGGCAATAGGTAGAGAGTTATACCGAATGCGACTTCTTTTTGTTGGGGCATTTATCTTGCGTGTTGAACATGAAATTTCGCTTCGAATATACCTACCCACATTTTTGCGAATAAAACAATTCGGCGATTTACCTTTATCAGGCTGAACGGTTTAATTTGGAAGGTAAGGAAAAGGGCAGTGTGAGAATGTAGTTTGTTTGGCTTTCACAGGAACACACACAAGCGAGGATTTACTGGCTATGAAACAAAAAATAAACGGAACATAGGGGATTGCTTAATGCGTCTATTGGGAAAATGAACAGATTTAGTAAGTATGGCTCGAAAGTGAGTTCCGAAATTAAATTCGAAAATGCGACGACCAAATGGTTATATCCAAACATATAGTAAATAAATTTGTAAATAACGAAGGAAAGCAAAAATCTGTTTATATTTGCATCCAAGGAGTTTGTAGTCAATACAATAATGCATTTAATATATTCGGCTGAATTAATTAAGTATTACGAATGCATTCTTCCCTAGATTTACTGATTATTAATAACGATGTTCAGAAAATAATTCAAAGATTTATAAAAGTGGTTGCTTGCTGTAGTTTCCAATGTTCTCCAGGCATTAGGAAATTGTATCTTTAGATTCTTATTGATTTTCCTCCCGTATAGCGTGCGGCTGTCACAATTTTCCGCAGTAAGTGGTTCAGAATAAATTTGAAATCTTAACGATGAATTTTTAAACAAATTGAGCACAAATATTATTTTTTCCACACAATTTGTTTTTAATCAGTAGTCAAAAATTTTTTTATTTATTTAACTAGTCTCACGTCAAGATAGAATACTGCATGAATAACAAGTTTATTTTCGTACTGAAACTCAATATTAAATAGTGGAGAATAGAATGTCGTTTAATTTTTTACATTTCAAGTGAAGATTCTAGTAGTAAGATGAGTTGATAATTTCTTTAAGTAGGTATCAGAAATTACTTTCAATTCGTCACAAAATTTACATCGAATGAATCCTCAACAAATTATTTGGAAAATTACATAAGAAGTCACTAATACTTAAATTATCCGTTATCAGTTTCACAATGCCTTTGAAAACGTTTTGTCGCCTAATCGTCTTAGGTTGTGCTTACCAGGTTTTTCGTTCGCGTACTAACAATTCAAATGATCAAAACTATAAAAGTTGCAATCGATCTGTAGATTTTATCTTCACATTTTGCTTATTTTATTGAGATATTAATTCGTTTTTTAAATTAATTGAGTTACTTTTTAATTGGACTAATTAATTGATAATTACAGTCATTTTTGTAATTTTTTGTTATTCCAGTTCTAATGTTAATCCTGTGTTCATAATGTACATATGTTACGATATCAGTAATAAATTCGCCGGTTTGGTTAACATTTTATAATTTTTTCCGTAATGTTTATCGGAATTAGCTTAATGTGACTGATTTGTTTAAGCATTTTCTAGCTTTAGATCTAAAATTTTGAATCGCCAAGTGATAAATGGCAAAGTACAGTATCTCTGGGAGTTTCCCAACTTACCGAAGTTTTAACGCAAATTTGAATCGGTTAGGAACATAAAACTACTTATACATTAAGTACAGTTGACGTCAGGTTCAAAACTTGCTTCTTGATCAAGCCAGTAAATAAGGTTTGATTTATTTTTTTTTATTTAACCATTCCAATATTTTCATCAAGCATTTTCAAATTACTTGAAGTTTTTAAGGTTTTATTTCCAACTTTCACGTGCCCTCAATAATAATAAGTTAAGTTTTATATACAGAAATAATAATTTCATGTTTGTGTTAATTGTGGCGATGTAACTTTCCATTGTTCTTATTAAAAGTTTAACACAACTTACAAAAAGTAAAATCGTTCTCTGTCTACATTATTTTCTGTTACATTTGGACATAAAACGTGCTGAATGAGAAACGGCATGTATTTATATTCCTGTAACATGTAAGTTATTGCGTTTATTGTTTAGTTTAAACTTCAAAAGCCGATGGGAAGTTCTAATCGTGCATCATTAACACAATTTCAATTGCAGACAGCAAAATGTAAACTATGAAGACAAAGGAAAGTAAATATCGTTATAGACTAAAAAGCGTGGAATGTTCGCAATTCAAAGTGTTCCGTTTACTTTGATATATTAAAAGGAAACTGTAAATTGCTGAAACTTCCACTATTGTGCTCTAATGGCCTTTTAAAGTGAGAACACTTTGCGTTCAATATTAAGGTATACTAATGAACATATTTTTTTGTCGTTTTTACTATCCGTATTTATGTGCCAATAAAAAATAAAACGTGCACTTTAAAGTGGCACAACCGATAAACTTCCAAACTGTGCTCTAATCAGGGACTCAATAATATCTACTAATAGATCAGATTTGTCGCAATTGACTTTAGAATTTAATTTATATCCCGTTTCAGACCAGCTTCAACGAAAAACAAAATCGGACAACTCTGAAATGGTGGAATGGATGGCGATCGGATAATCCTAAACGTTGGCGGGATTCGCTACGAAACCTATAAAGCAACTCTGAAAAAAATTCCAGCAACTCGACTATCCAGGCTTACGGAAGCTCTGGCAAATTACGATCCGGTTCTCAACGAGTTTTTCTTCGATAGACATCCCGGGGTGTTTGCACAGATTTTAAATTATTACAGGTAAGTGTGCTGTTAATGGAAAAAATGGATAGTGCAAACTGTTGTCGATTCTGCTGAACAGAATGTAGATTAACTTGAATTGTCCAGTTTATAAGAATCATTATGAACGGTCGTGAAAGGAAGTACTGATTCACGCTGCTAAGTTGAAGAAAATGTTGAAATTTATCTATATTTGTTGAAAATAACCTGAAAGTGTGAAGATTTGATTTCGCTTTTGACGTTCTTTTGAAATTTTAATGTGTGAACTTTATCGCTCGCTAAAGCAAGTTCAGGTCTTACAGGTTTGCTATAATAGAATACTTTAGTCGTAACTTATGTTCAAGTTTTCAGTATATTAATTTATTCAAGACATCAGTGCGACGCAATACTCAGATTCTATGTCAATTGGTATCAACACCACATTGTGATTAATTTTAGAAGTTGGGAAGCATCGAGAAATAACACGTATTCCTCTAAAGTCTAAAGTATGCTTTAGAGAGAAGTTAGGTAATTAGACCCAAACTTTGGGCAAGAAGTTGAAATAGATGCAGCCGTCTAATTGGGAATTGATAATAAGAATAAGATATTTCATTTGAATACTTAGAACAAATAAATGAGCCCTTGTAAAACAACTTCTCAGCTACACTTTACTGATCGATAATTTGGAGTAAATTACATTTTATTAATTAAATAAGTCAAACTCAAACTGAAATATTAGCACATTAGTATATAGATTAAGATTAATTTGTTATTTTAATTGTTTTTTTTTTGTAATTTGTTAACAATATTTTTTGAAATATTTTCGGTCTGTACAAAGTGTAAGTCGATTCGATGTAAATTTCTATAAAAGTATTTAAGGCTCAAGCACTATTAGTTGCATCAAATAATACTAACTAATAATACAAACAGTACAATTTTTACTTTTCCGATTTCCTACTTATAACCAAAACTATATAGATATGTTATTGGATGGAAACAAATTTGCACCTCCAAAAATTTTGACTTTTAACCAATAAATTAATAATTGATATCTTCACACTTAGCATATATTTCAATCCGTTACAGTAATTTATTCCTTTTTTCAATTACCTGCTAAAATAAGTATAAGCTTGACAAGATTCTCAGTTCCTAAAGTATCTCTTTCTCATAATAATCAGTTAGTTAAAAAGCAACGTGTAAATTATTTTAATATTTTCGTTGTTATTATTTCGAAAGCTTCCTAAATATTTACAATCCCCCAAACAAACTCCCAATTGAAAAATGAAAATCCGCTTTTGGGAAAACGGCCTACAGAAATTTTCATTTTATTTTCTCTGTTATTCTGTAATTGCTAGGTGCATTTACTTTTGGGATATTAACCCTTCAGTAACAACGTAGGATTTTATGACAAGAATATTAACGTCGGTCTAAGAGATCCACAATTACGTTACACATAATAATAGACCTGCGCTATTTATCACGTACAGATAAAGTTGATAAGGATTAAATAAATAAAGGTTAACTTGATCAACTTACTTATAATTGTACAAAAACCTATTCTACGTACATTAAAATAAAAAAATAGTCATTAATAAAATGATGATAAAACTGATGTTGGCTTTGTTGTTAAAACATATAAGTCCAAGTTGTTCACTGTTATTCAATTAAAATGTAATTATAAATCGAAGTCTATGTTACTCTAAGTATTACAGTCTTGGCAAATAACCAAACAATGCTCTAAGCACATACATTTTCCAGATTTTGTGCAGCTGTATTTAGTTTTTAGATTTTTTTTCGAAGAACAATAAAAACATCGTTGTATCAAATTACGATTTTCTTGTTGTGCAACATCATCACTAGGTAAGTTTAAAAGTTCTTTTACCCCAGTCTCATTAATTTAGAGAGACGCTGGTTGGCAGATCTTTGTTTCAGATGCTCATCAATTAGATTTATTGCCGGTTCTTCCAAAAACTGACTGCGACATATTTGGGATGTGCTATTATTTGCATTAGATACAATAAAAGCATTTATGGTTCCGACATTTAGGACACTGTAGAACACTACCATAGGCCTTGTATATCGTTGTATACCTTCTTGTATGTCGTGCGGTGTTATAAGTAGCGCAAAGTTTATCGACGACATCCACACCACCTTTTGTTGTATTATATGCCATAATAAATTCCGGTTTTCCGGTTTCATCGTGATGCAAAGTAGATAAAAGTAGTAAATTTTTGTTACGTCGAGGAATGTACGAAACTAAGGTGCATTGTTGCTGAAATCCAACATCCGCACATAAGCGCTGTCCTCTTCGGTGTCCGTCAATTCTTGCTGAGTATCAGTATTTACATACACACAAATTCTTCTACATTGCCCGGTCCATCCTCATCCACAGAATGATGTCGTAACGGTTTATCTCCTCTACTAGCTGTAAAAGTCTTGCTTGATTTGCCTCGTAAGACATTTCTCTAGAAATAACTATTTGTTAATAAAATACATGCAAAAATACAACCACAGTATATTCTTAAATCTGAAGAAATTTTGTTACGTGATTAATAACGTCGGTCTCACTGACCGTATTTCTCAATTTTCCCGCACTAAATCACTCGCTTCTAAATCACTTAAACTGATGAGAATAACATTGCTGGAAGGTACTGAAAAGCGCGCCTCCTCACCTCAAAAATTGTGCGCGTAAATTGCATCTCCCCGTTAAGTCGGTCTATGGGACCGTACGTTATTACTGAAGGGTTAACCAAAAGTAGAACTTAAAATATTGCGATTGATGTGGTAGTTCAAAAACTTGAATTACGTGTACAATTTAAAATTCTGGTAAGGTGAACAACAGCATGGAAGTAAATTGTGCAATATTTAAAACGACTTTGAATAACTTTTCTACATATTATTATTACATTCAATTCTGCACTTAAAACAATGAAGAATGTACGGAGGAGTACGTAGTAAATATTCCCTAATGGGAAAACATTCGTAAAACGTCTACTAAGGACTAGACGAGTAATAATTAAGTCATATAAGTTCAGTGATACAAACAATGACGAAAGCAGCCACAGCTTGAAGATCAGAAAATCGACGGAGCTTGGCAATGAATCCTCAGAGGGTTTACTTCAAAACTTAAATATTTCCCACACTTTAAACTTTGCCGGCATCGCTGAAACTGGCTTAATAAATTCTGTCGCTTCCTTTGGTTTGTCCATTAAAAATTAATAGTGAAAAATCGTCGCTGAAATTGAGAAGTTATGAGGATAAGTAAATGTAAAGTTTGTTTTTAGCTATATCGGATTTTATCCAAACTATAATTCTGACTTGAACAGATCCAGCTCTTTCGGGATTTATGTAGTTAAACAGCACTCCCTCGTTCTGTTTAATTTAACACACATACGATATTAACGCTACAATAATTTTCTCGCCCAACCATATTGTTATATGTATCAACAGCAGCCAGTATATATCAAAGCCATTGCAATTTACAGTTCCCATACCCTCATCAAATAGATATGATCTCATTCTGCACCCTTTCATGTAAGTGAAATTTATTGCGAGTCTTATTACTGCGGAAAACCAGGCTACAAGAACGGGATTTACATTGTCTAAGACGATTAAATTATCATTGAATCCGCGGTTTTTATGCCACAAGTGACTAATGTTTATTGTGTGTAAATTGTGCAAAGGATACGAAATAGGACATGATTTAGCTTGAATTAGATTATTAATTGTTGTTATGTAAAAATCATATGTATTGTACCATTTTATGCAGTTTCAACACGTTCATCCGTTTCAAATCTCGAGATTGTATTAAGTTTTTTTGCTCTGTGATGAGGTGTGTGATGTGTCTGAAAATGGTCTTTATCCATAATTGAATAACAATTTTTAAAGCATATTAAAATATTAGTTAATTTATTCTGTCCCAACCTAACCACATGCATATTTCAGACTAGAAGTAACAGCTTTTGAGGAAGCAAATACAGCACGAGAAGCAGTTTACAAGTACATTCATGAAATATTTACTTAGATTGCTAATTATCCGCAAGTTCTAAAATTAACTTCTGAAAACTTGGAAATACAATTTACCACATAAGCCAAGTTCAACATTATGGGCAACTTTGAGTATTATATTAAGATACATTGAACTTAAGTGCATTGCTATGAACCTAATTAAACAGACCGTTTTCACTTGAGTACAGCTTAAAATTTTAATTTCGCATTCATAGCAAGACGGCATGTAGATATAATTACGTTTAATATCATTATATGAAATAATAAGAAGGCGTCAACTTGCCGAGACTTTCAGGCAGGATCATTGAACGCAAATGAAGTGAAGCCAAGAAAGGGAAAACGGAGAACAAATTGACAAATAATATAGAGTGCTTCTCTTAGCAGCCCATGATGTATTTGGAATAACACGCTAAGTTTATGGCTGTTTTTAAAACGTCTGGGCTTTTATTAACTCGCCATATGAAATCCGAAAATTGGCTGCAAGTGCGATTTTTATGAGGATTGACATTTCTGTGAGAATTAATTCCAAGTTATACGAGCACCTGAGATTAGAGTTAGTACAGATAGTTATATATAGATCAGGGTTACCAAATAGAAAAAAAAACCTACGACCGGAGGTCGAGCAAAATGAGCTTTATATTTTTTACCAAAATATTTTTGAGATAGTTTGATAATCGGTGAAAAAATAAATACAGTAATACTATTCCCTTAATTTTTATTATGTTTAAAAACTGAAAGATTCGATGCATACTGCGATATTCTTTGCATCAAAAGAAGATGATCTGACCTAACTTTTATTAACAAAAACTGTCTGGTTCCTCTGCTATTGATGGTCAAAGTTGTTCAAAAAAATTATCGTTTTCGAAATATCGGGAAAATGGTATGATGTATTTTAGTGAGACTCGCTGTGAATTTGTTCTTATGTAAGACTCATATTTTGATGAAACAATCGAGTTCATCCGTTTTGGACAAGTGGAGAATTCTTGAGGGTCGTGGTACAAAAGCTACCAGAACTTTTTATTTGGTGGATGAAA